TGTACCTCTACATGACAAGTCTTGATTCTCATTTTTTCCCCTTACCTCTGCCCTCCCTTCACCCCCTCCTCCCCTCCCCATCTACAAACACTTTATTTTCATCTTTTCATTCTCTCACATTTTTTTCTTTTCCCTTTTTACTCTTCCCCTATCCATCCCACCTTCCCTACACCTTTAGTTCCTTTCTTCCCATTTCTAAATGTCAGTAATCTTATTAGGATCTTATGCATTATTACAGATTATTCACACCAGGGAAATTATTTGGTATTTATACATGTGTGACTTATTTATTTCACTTAGGAGTATATCTTCAATATGTATCCATTTTCCTATGAATGAATCTATTTTCTCATTCTTTATGGCTGAGTAATATTCCATTTTATAGAAAAACCACATCTTCTTTATCCAGTTTCCAACGGAGCCCATCCAAATCTTAAAAGCTTTTTGAAGCTTTTCTCCATTGTCTAAGCTATATTTCTGCTCCTTTCTCCTCTTCATTACCAGAACCTGATATTTACTTCTGTGCATAGAGGCTGCCCTGCCTAGCTCTGGGTAGAACATTGGCGAACACCAAGAACGATGCAGATGCGGACTCCCCAACTTGTAGGTGTCAATATATCCAATCAAATAAATAACCTCTCTTTTAAGATAAGTTAGACTGCATTCATTTTTAAACAAAAAGCATAATTTTGGCCTTCAAGCTACAAAATTCAATCCAAGACATTTGAAGTAAAAGTTTATTTATTTATTTAGGGTGTGCTGGGGATCAAAACCAGAGCCTTGCACGTATTAGGCAAGTATTCTACCAGTGAGTTACATCTACAGCCCCTTAAACTAAAAGTTTAATAGGAAACTATGTGAACTTTCATCATTTCATTAACGCATAGTCTATAAGATTTTTGCCTAATTATGAATCAAGTAACACTGTCCTTATCACCCTCAAAGTGTGGGAGCAACTGAAAGAGAAATAAAATCTTGAGTAAAAAAAAAATTAGCTATAACTCAGAGCAACACAAATTTAAGGTCATTTAAAATTTCCCTTTTCCCCTAATGAGTGCAAAAACCACATCAGATTTGAGAACTGGATTAAGTATTAGTGATTTATAATGGCCAGCCACTGATTATTAGGTCATCTCATTAGGAACCCAAAGAAATTGTCTCTCATCTTGCTATTTGCTGCTTTCCCAGCAACCCTCAAAATGCTATGACATCACACCCATACAAGTCATGGGGCTGTGATCTGGGATTTCAGAGTAGTCGGCACAAGTCTTCCTTGGATCTCCAAAAATGGGCCCTTTTCAAATATCAATGAAACAAAAAAGTGGCAGAAAGTTACCACCAAAATCAACTTTAATATCACAAGTTAAAGCAGTCAATGATGATCACAGTCTTCTTTACTTTGAGTCGAGCCCCTGAGAGTAACAGAGGCCCAGAGGAGGGAGGCTTCTGACATTGTCAAGTGTTCCTGAGGGGCAGTCCCAAAGAGCTGTGGCAAAGTGCAAGCAAAAAACAAAACTTCACAGCCTTGGAATAGAGTGGGGAATCTACAGGGCTCTGTGTGTAAGTCATTTGTGCTGCTCATCAAATCCGTGGCCACCTCATCCCTCAGTGCCTTCATTTGGCAAGATAAAAAATGTTCAAATTGGTGCTGGAAAGTCTGAGGATTATCACTGATTACAATCTAACATTAATATAACCATTCACTGACTCTTAGGGGGAATCTTTGCTACTCCAAGTGGAAGAATATCTGTAGCACCACCTGAGAGGTTGCTAAAACCTATTGAATTAGAATTAGCATTTGCTTTTATAATATCTCCAGCTGATTTTTATACACATTTAAGTTTCAGACACAGCTGGGCGTGGTGGCTCACATCTATAATTTCAGCACTCTGGGAGTTGGAGGCAGGAGAATCGAAAAGTTCAAGTCCAACCTGAGCAACTTAGTGACTTGTGAGACCTTGTCTCAAAATAAAAAAATAAAGGTCTAGGGATGTAGCTTAATGAAAGCTCTGGGTTCAAGGCCCCAAAACAATTGACACACCCTACTGGAAGAATTAGTGCAAAGGCAATACAGGATCCTATACAGGATAGAGGAAAAGTACATAAGTGCTATAGGACCATTAAAGAAAACAGCAACACTAATAAATAAGATGCAATTTACTCCTTCCAAAAATTTGTATGATTGTCTCCTCTGTTGGCTACAAAAACAAGATTTCAACTGAAGTGTGGTCTTGAGTAGAGAGCTCTCCTGTGTAACTTCTCTCTTGCTTGCTTGCTCTCTTTTTGGTCACTCTGGTGATGGAACCCTGAACCTTGATACATGCTAGGCAAGTGCTCTAATAGTGAGCTATACCCCTAACCCAAGTGCTCTGTGGGTCTAATACTCGGCCATACCTTGATTTGATAGATATGGACAAACTTCCAGTTACAAAACGTTAAACAATGTTTATGGAAAAACTATCTTGATTGAAGATAAATTACTAGATTAAGTCTAGGATCACGCATATTAAGTTATATGTGAACTGGCTGTACCAACTTCTTTTTTTTGGCATAGAATAAGTCCAATATTTAGTACTGGTATGTCAACTAGTGGCAATGCTTTAATTACTTAACAATTTTGAAGGTCTATTTTTATAAAAGGTCTATGGTTGAAGGTTTATTTTATAAGAGCTATGGACCTTGATATAGTCAAATCTGTCAAATTTTTTGCACAAAATTTATCAAATAGAGTACCAATTGGCAAAATAAAGTGTATTATAGCTTTTTTCACTCATTGTGAATGAATACAGATAGGCAGAACTTTTCAAATCCCATTGTGTTGGTTGCAAAGACAATATGAAAGCATTTGGAACTATGTAGACCCTCAAAAACTTTTCTATGACCATCAGAACAATAATTAACATTTCTCTGAATCTGCCACTTTACCCTCTTTATAAAATGCATACATTAATATAGGGTTACACTCCACAGCTAGAAAGAGTTACATTTGGGCCAAGAACTGCAGCAGAAGGGAATTTCCATTATTACTCAAAATGTGGAACTCTACACGCCACCCAAGAGCGAGCAATGTGACTACACTGTTACATCAGTAAAAGGACATGGCCACCAAAAGCTTTGGCAATGCCAAATCTTATGTACAGAACTTTTTTGTGTGTGTGGTGATGGGGATCAAAGCCAGGCCCTTGTGGGTGCTAAGCAAGTACTCTGTCTCTAAGTTACAGCCTTACCCATCATTTCAATTATTTTAATCATACTGCTGGTTGTATTTTACTGATATTCAGAAGATAGATGAGTGCAAAAAACAAAAAAATTTTCTCAAAATTAAATGTCAAAATTACAAATGTGAAAACCTAGAAAATGTATACACCAAATATAATATGCCCAGAAAAGAACTGATCATGTCATAAGTAAAACAAAAAAGGAAACTGCAGTGGAGTTTTCTACCTGCTTTGTGTTCTATTCAAATATGCTACAAAGGCTGGTTCGAATGGTTGAACTGCTGAGCACAACAGGGCAATGCACCTGGACTGTCTGAGGTTCAAGTTCCTATCAAGCGCCTGGGAACTCTGGGAACTATTACCTACCAGATGTTTCTAGGAATTTTTGGCCCCTAAAATATGCTGTTCTCAGAGTGGAGTTTTTGACATGAATACTTATTGAACAGTATCAGGACTGACATACACAGTGGTTCTTCAGAGCCCTTTCCACAAAATATATACTTTCTGACCACTTAAAATACACCTTAATAAAATAAAACACTTTTTGCCGGGCATGGTGGCTCATGCCTGTAATCCCAGCACTTGGGAGGCTGAGGCAGGAGGATTGCTACAAGTTTGAGACCAGCCTGGGTGACAGAGTGAGTTTCCAGAGCAGTCTGAACTACATAGTGAGACCCCATCTCAAAAAAAACAAACAAAAAAACCACTTTTTTTTCAATGCTGGGATTTGAACTCGGGCCTCACTCATGCTAAGTAAGTGCTCTATTACTGAGCCACCTCCTCAGCCCCTAAAACACAATTTTAAGTAAACAAAATATCTGCCTACCTGCATGTTACCCATTTCCTACACAATGGAAATTAGAAAAAAACAAAAAAACAAACTACCCAACCTAAACCTACTGCTCATGTATGCCCAGCACTGATTCTCACGCCAGAAACATTTTTCACACGTGAGGTAACTAGAATCCTGGTTCTTTGGTCTTTGTTTTTTTTTAGTAGGTCACCTCCTAATGAGTTGTTTTGAGACACTCAGGGGAGAAAAAGCTGCAAACATTTGGAGCAATTACCAATTACCTTAATTCAAGAAAGGAAAGTCTTATATGGGTATTGATCAAGGGAAAGTGCCATTGCATTGATAAGCAACTGGCTACAGTGGAGAGACTGTAGGAACACCTTCTCCTAACATATTAGAGGAAACCTGCCTTTAACATAGTACCACTGCTGTGTCAGTCTCTTCCAGCTGGCCTGGTGGGACGTGAGGAAGGGAAGCTTCAAACTGTGGGGAAAAGTTACTTATGTGTCAAGACATGTCAGAGAGAGGAGCAAAGAGGCTGGGAGAACAGTTTAATACCCCCATCTCTACCTCCTCAAGATTTAAACCAGAAAATGGGCTATCAAGAAGATATTGAGCAAGATCCAAACTGCAGAAACACAGACACACTCGGCGTGGGAAGTTCCTGATCTAAGCAGGGCCAAAACATGGCAGAACTTGCTGGAAAAATTTTCTCCAGGAAGGCAAGAGCACACGCTGGGCTTGCGAGAGAGAGCGGACAGAATCGGCAATAGTATACAAAACAATAACAAAGACAATGACGATGATGATTACGATGACGATGCTGATGTCACTGAAATGCACAGTGGCACAATAAGATCTTGTCATTTTAGGGGTCCATAGGCCAGTAGTCCTCCCACCCCTGAGGCCTCAGTTCTATGCTTCATCAGGCAAAGAGGACTGAGTGGGGTGCAGAGCCTCACCTTCAAGACTGGAGCCAAGAAGACAGAGATTCCCGTCAGGATGAAGACGATGATGCCAGTAACTCTCTGTTCCCTGGCAGAGAAGAGCGCATTGTCAGGGGTGACCTGGAAACATTCAGTGACCATTCCCAGCCTTCTTGGGTCCTGAAGATTATTATGTCCAAGACTATGGTTTCAAAGGGCTTCTGCATCAGCCTGAGCCCCAGCTGAACCTCTCAGGGAAGACAGGTGCATCTGACAGAGGGCAGGACATTTTATAGAGGCATTGGGATGGTTGTCCACAGTAGTATCTAATGATGGGGTTCCTTGTGCCAGACTGACTGAGGTCGAATCTCTGCCATGTATTCATTGTGTGGCATTGGCAAGACCCTAGACATCTCAAGCTGAGCAGAACAGAGATAATTATAGCACCTACATGCCTATTACCCTGCCCTCTGGTGACAAGATGTCTCTTGCATGGGACATGACTGAAAAACCTTGGGAACCTGGCATGAGAAGAGCAGCAAGGGAAAGGACAGAAGTGATAGGTCAAGGCCATAGTCCAGAGAGTAGGGGTGAGCCTGGTCAGTCTTTCTGGAGGAATGGAGATTTTGCAGGGCCTGAACCCACAGTGGTCTTCAGGGGCTTCAGGGAGAGGCCCTGGAGGGTCTTGAGATAACTCCAGAGGCAGAACAGGAAGAGGCCCGATCATGCCTAGGTAGGTGAGAGCTTCTCACGCGTGTGTGCATGTGTATTTATGAGTGTGTGTGTGTGTGTGTGTGTGTGTGTGTGTGTGTGTGTACCGCTTAGACTACAAAGAAAAATGTACCACTTAGAAAAGAATCTTCTCTCCTTTCCAGTCAGAATGTCATTCCTGTCTCTGCAGCTCCTGGGATATCACAGCAGGGGCCCTCCCACTCATGTTAGGGTGATCCAGGCCCTGACCCCTCCTACCTGACCCCCAGGAACTGGGGCTGCTCCCCAGGGGCGCTGGTCTCCGTCTCCATCTTGAGGCTGTCAATGTGGGCAATGGAGATGACTGTGGCAGCCACGTACCAGGGGAGCCCCATGAAGGAGCACAGGGCCATGAGGACGCCCACCCAGAACAGGTCCAAATGGTAGCCAGCGGCCTTCTGCAGGAGCAGAAGAAGAGACAGAGAAGCTTCTGGAAGTCTGTTCTTTCTCACAGCAGCCACTTTATGGAACATGGTTCCACCTCTACACCCCATTCCAGAGAGTACTCTGAAGGGGCTGCCACCTTGAGCTACTTTCTGTGAGGACTTCAGAGGTGTTCAGATCGTATTACCCCCAGAGGTGGCTTATTGCCATCTTGTCTGAAGAGGTCAACCAGGTAAGGGACACAGGTAAAGGAGGAGAGGAACGTTCATGCTTGGAAAGGCCTTAGGTTTGGGATCCTGGAGAGAAGGGCTCCTGCCTAGTAGCCATAGTGACTCTGAAATTCCTGAAAAAGGAGCCTGAGCTTGGGCCTTACACATAGCAGAGTGGGGGTGATGGAGGGAGTAGCCTGAGGTTTCTCAGGCCCAGAAGCAGGGAGGGGAGTTTCAGGGGAGGTTCTTTGGCCTCATAATTCCGGGCCTATCCCTCTGTCAGTATCTGCTTAGACTCCCAAGTTCACTTTCAGTAGGCACAGAGGGTTACTTTGAGAGGCAAGAGGCCTGTGCCCAGGGCCCCAACCTGGTCTCAGTTCATCAAGTCACACCATCCCCCCAACACACCACCAGTGGGAACTTGTCTTCTGCGCAGGGTGCTGAAAGAACATCTCCCTCCTTCAATCCTTCTCTCTGCTCCCAGCACCACCCTCACCTTCAGTTTGTTCTCCTTCCTGTTCACAATGACGGCTGTAATTTGCTGGTCCATGAAGATCAGGATGGTCACCAGCAGAGCAGGCAGGATACTTGCCAGGTACACCCACCACGGGTTCTTCCCAAAGGGGGCCACGAACCAACCTCGGTCAGGCCTCGTGGGCTGAGCAGAGCAAATGAAGAGGGTCCTTTCCTCTTTCCCTTGTTCCAGCACTTGGCTGCTGGCCACTCTCCCCTCTTGTCACCTTCCCCCACCTGGAGGTACTTTTAAAGCACACTGTTTTCCCTAAAAGATATTAGGCACCTGCAACTTCAGAGACCACAGAGGCAGCAGATAGGGGAGGGAATATGAACACAGCTGGGATCTGCAGAATGAAGGCGATAATTTGCTGCAGCTGCCCTGGGACTGGCTGGGACACAGGGAGGAGATAAGAGAGGACAAGGGAGGAAGAATGTAGTCACTGATTACAAAACAACAAAAAGCAGAAATGAGGCTCTACAAGCAAGAATAAAGCGTTGGACGGGTCCAGTGCCTCACATGCCTGCCTCTCCTGAGTCACCTCTCTGGGAAGCATTCTGGAATTGTAAAACACCAGGCATCAATTCAGACCTGCACTTTGAGAATACAGGGTTATTTGTGCAACAGCTGATGATTATCTTTTGTTGTGTTTAAGAGAAAGAGGTCCTTTTATTTTGAGGGCAAACAAGTTGTATGTATTTAAACTACTCAGAAAAACCCTGAAATAATATCTTGGAGGTCAGGGCCTCAAAATCAAGAGCGTAATTGTGGATTTAAACCGGGACTCTTGACCCTGGTTAGATGGTTAGTGCATCTGTGAGGGACCTGGGTTTGGGCTTATTCACAAACACATGGCACCAACTTTAGACTAATAGGTGCTTTCTGAAGCAGTGATTCTCAGCTCTGATTATGCCCAGAATCACCTGGAGGACTTGTGAAACTGCAGATTGCCATCCCTACCCCCAGTTTTCAGATTCTACAGGTGTAAGAGATTGAGAATTTGCATTTCTAACAAGTTAGCAAGTGACCATGTGATGCTAGTCCAGAGGCCACACTTTGAGAATCACTTCTCCAAGGGATCATTTTCAACAGATTGCAGTTGGCCCAGCTTGTAGACTGCCATAAGTTAGGGAACTGGAAACTCTCAGAAAGAGGAGGCTTTGGCTGGAATCTTCCTCCTTCCAGGATTTCTCTGTGACTATGTCCCTATCCTCCTCTCAAAGGAAGTCCCTGGAAAACTATGCAGGAAGGGGTCACACACACACACACACACAGAACCAACAGGGTCTAGGTTGAGAAGAGAAAGTTTGATGAGCATAGAGGACAATGGGCTACAGCTAGTGGGCAGGCAGAGTGAGTGTCCCAAGGAGAGGCAAGGGGCAAACCTTGATAACACTGGGCACGTGCAGTTTGGGTGTTTCCAGGCCAAAACAGGCATCGATTCCACAGAACAGGAGGATGGAGAAAATGATGGAAAAGTCAGCCACCAAGGCCCGGACCTGCAGAAAGGAGAGGAGCAAGTGAGCAAAACATCTACTCTGACCCAGTCCTCAGGCATCAGAGAACAGTTACAGGCTGTGTTGAAGTCAGGAGGTCTATGCTCACACAAGTCCTTGCAGCTATGTGGCCGTGGGGAAGCATGTTATCCCTCTGAGCCTCACTTTCCTCCTCTGTGAGATGGAGATGATGATGGTACTACATCAAGAGGGAATGAGCTGTGGTGCATTTAAAGTGCCTGGCATGGGGTAGTCAGCCTGGTAGCTGTGATCCATGTGGCCATTTTCTGGAATAAGACACTGAGCTGCGTCACTCAGCAGGTGTGAGGGCAAGGGCTGAACTCAGAGGAAACCCTAGGTCCTGTCTTGGAGAGTAAGCCGCCTGTTCATGGGGCAGGGGAGGGGAAGCATGCACAGGACATATTCTTTGCCTGTTAAGTGAGTTCAGATTGTCTAGCCATTGTTCTATATGCACATTTTGTTAATGTTGCTGAGTATTAAAAGATAAATATTAACACCCAAATTAAGTTAGAAGTAACAAAATAATCCATATATATATA